TGCTACATGTGAAATAATTTTTTTGATTTTTTGAAAAAAAATGTTTTTCATATTTTCATGGGTTCTCAATTTTTTGTTGGATTCCAATAAATATTTTTCTTGAAATTTAGTTTTTTCTTGGAAAATTTCAGATTCGCAGGATTTGAGAATTTCAGAGCAATTTAAGTTTTCAGAACTTTCCCTGACATAATACTGCTTATTTGTGATAAAATCAATTATTGATTTTTTTGATAAGAATTCAGATTTTTCGTATTTTTTGTATCCCTTGAGAATCTTTTTTTTTTGAAATAAAGATTTTTTTTTGAAAACTTGGAAAATACGCTTTCTTAACTTCTGAATTTTTTCTTGATTTTCAAGTCTTCCTTATATATTTCTTAAGTCCGGATTCCGGATTCCCGGGTCATGATTCCGGATTTTCCGATTCCTCAGAAATTCTAAAACTCTGAACATTCAAAATTCCAATTTTCCGAGATCTTAAAAAAATCAGTCACTGAGCGAAAGTGGAAAGTCTGTGAAACCTGAAATTTGAAAATTTGAGAGTTTTAAAAAATTAAGAAATTCTGACAATCCAAAAAAATGTAAAAAAGAAGGAATTTTACAGAATTTTCTGAAAAGTTTGAAAATCTGATCTCTCGAGAATTCTGTTTCATATATTTCGAGATTTTTCAGGATTTTTAAGATTTTTGAAATCCTGAATCTTTGATTTATTTTTTTTTGTTTCTATATAAAAATATGTTCCTGTTTTTCCAAAAAAAAAAATAAATCAAAATTTCAATTTTTTTTTGGAAAATCAGAAACCTTTTGACCTTTTGAAAAACAAACCAGAAATCTAAAAATTTCCGATTTTTTATATGGCTTCTTGTTTTCTAAATCTCCAAGTCACAACTAGAGAAAAAGCAGGTCAACAAATATTTTTTCTTTTGATTTTTGGAACTCTGAAAAAAAATTAGATGTCCGGTAGGAAATTTAATTAGTGAATCATTTATTGAAAAACAAAAAAAAATTATTCGCAAAAAAATAAAATATGGTTTGTGGGGTCAGAAAAAAAAACATATTGAAGATCCTGAAAACATAATATTCGGAAGTTCAAAAATTCAGGATTACCGTAACCAGCAAGCTGGTGCGCCTTCGGCTCGATTCAATCTAGTTTTTCACTGATTCGTGATCCTCAATTATTCTAAAAGGGTCACGTGAATTGTATTAATTTTTCAAGTTTTTCAAAAATCCACAGCGATTTATATATAAGGAAGACTTAAAAATCAAGAAAAAATTCAGAAGTTAAGAAAGCGTATTCTCCAAGTTTTCAAAAAAAAATCTTTATTTAAAAAAAAAAAAAAGATTCTCAAGGGATACAAAAAAGAATCCGAAAAATCTGAATTCTTATCAAAAAAATAATCAATAATTGATTTTATCACAAATAAGCAGTATTATGTCTTTTGAATCCCTTCCGCTTCTCCTCCAACGCGCGGTCCATCAATTTTTGAGATCCATTCGAATTTTCAGATTTTTCTGGCATTTTCGGACCGCCCATTGCACATTTCTTGAGATCCAAATCCGAATTGAAACTGTGAATTTCCATTTGTACGTGGAACATTTTTTCGGAAGGATTACTGTAGATGAACCTGAAATTTGGGAATTTAAAGTTAGATGTGCAGGAGGCACAGTAATCTGGGCAAAATGAGATAATATAGAAAAAAGGAAATATTGATTTTTCGAATTTTTTAAAAATCCAGAAAAACAATCCACAAGAAGAAACTGAAATTTCCAGAATTTTCTCTTTGGGATTACTGTCGAAAGTCGAAAAGATTGAATTCATAAGTACAGAGTTAGATGTGCAGGAAGTACAGTAATCCAAAAATGAAAAAAAGAAGAAAAAACTGAAATTACCCATTTTTCAGACAAAATTTTTTCCTATTTATACTGTCCGAAAAAACTGGCCACCGGCTCTTTTTTTTGCTCACCAATGATCTGAAAATGGCTTCTTTTGGGATTCTTTTTGACAAAAAAGTATAGGTCAGAAACTGGAAAAAAATAGAAAATTTGAGAAAATTTGAAAAAAACAAAAATTCAGATCTAGATGTTTTTCGGAATCAACAAAATGTTTTTTTTGTTTTTTGAGAAAATTGAGAATCTGAAAATTGTATTAAAATTGGTCTTTCGAAAAAGTTGGAACTATAAGAACAAAAAATTTGGGAAAGTCTAAAGTTCCGAAATTCTGCAATTCTACTTCTGAAAACCCTGAAATCAGGAGAATTCTAATCTGAAAAATCTGAAAATCTCAAAAACCTGAAATACTGAAATTCTGAAAAACGTGGTATCAGGATAATTGGAAATTTGGAAAAATCTGAAAATCTGAAATTCTGAAAATGGGACTTCTGAATAACTTGGGATCATGAAAATATTTGGAAACTTGTGAAAATCTGAAATTCTGAAAACGTGGAATAAGGATAATTGGAAATTTGGAAAAAGCTGGAATTCTAAAAATCGGACGCGTGAAAAGTTTGGAAACTTGTGAAAATCAGGAATTCTGAAAAACTAAGAATCGTGAGAATTGGAAATTTGGGAAACGTTGAAGTTCTGAAATTCTGAAGCTCTTAATTTCTGGAATTCTAAAAATTTTTTCGATTTTCTAGATTTTTTTCGGATCAACAAAATGTTTTTTTTTATTTTTGTGAAATTTGAGAATCTGAAAAACCTGAAATTCTGAAAACTTGACTTTTGAAAAACTTTGAACCGCGGAAATTGGTGACATTCTGAAATTCAGAAATATCGGAATTCTGAAAACCTGGGAAGTGGAGAATTGAGAGAATCTGAAAATTCCAGAAATCCAAGCAGAGATCTGAAATTTCGCCGAAGCCAGAGAAAAAAGGGGCGGGGCTTAGGAGAAAGGGGCGGGGCCTAAGAGTTATATAAGGGAGGGATGTTTGGAGGAAACTATCAACACAGTTCTCTGGCTGAAAATCTTACTTTTTTCTTGGCTCTACAAAACTACAGTACACCAATTATCTATTCCTTCTACCGTACTCATCAACCGTACTCCAACTACAAAATGTTCCACGTTCAAATGGAAATCCACAGCTTCAACTCGGATTTGGATCTCAAAAAGGCGGGAACCTTCTCGAATGTTCCAGAAATGCCTGAAAAATCGATGGGAGAGAGGAAATTGATGGACCGCGCGTTGGAGGAGAAGCGGAAGGGATTCAGAAGGCACGACACGACGTACATGTGAATTTGGATTTTTTGATTTTTTGGATTTTTTGATCTCCTGTGCTTAATTCTTCATGTTTTTCGCTTCAAATGGGTTTTTCTCTTTTTTGGATTCAATAAATTTTTGTAAAAATCAAAAAACTGTGTTTTTTGAATTTATTTTCAGATCCTAGAAATTTCTAGAATTTTCTGATTTTCAGATTTTCAAAAAAAAACCAAGTTTTGAATTTATTTTCAGATCCTAGAAAATTCTAAAATTTTCAGATTTTCAGATTTTCAAAAAAAACCAAATTTTGAAAATTCCAGAAACTTCTGATTTACAGTTTTTTCAGACTTCTTAGAATTTTTCGTTTTCAGATCTGTCAGAATCTCGGAACTTTTCTGAAATTTCAGATTTTCAGACATTTAGAAAGTTTCGAATTTTCGGATTCTATAGATTTTTCCGATTTTTAGAGTTTCAGATTTTCCCAATTCCAGATTTTCAAGAATCTCTGATATCTTCGGATTCTCAGATTTTCCGACTTCCTTGGTTCCAAATTTACAAAAAAATGATTTTTTTTTCGGATTTTCGGTATTTTCAGATTTTTCAGAATCCTTGAATTTCTCGGAATTTCAATTTTCAAATTTTCCGATTCCACAAAACTAGAATTTTCCAGAAATTCATTTTTTTTTCAATCTTAAAAAAGTGCAGAAAAAAAAAGAAAAGAAACGTAGTTTTTAATCTAATCCGGAAATCCGAATTATTTGGAAAAACTAATATTAATCCGAGGAATCAACAACAAAAAGTTATACATTCGGTCCAAAACCAAAAACTTTGGCCTTTTTATCTGGAAAATTACCGTAACCGACTGTGAAATTTTAAAATCATTGGAATCTGAATAATCTGAAAATCTGAAATTTCAAGAAAAACACTGAAAATTCCGAAAATCTAGAAATCTGGAAAATCTGAAATTTTTTCTGAAATTTGGAATATTTGGAATCTGTAGAACCTGTGATTAGGGAGATCTGGAAAAATCTGAAAATACTTACAGATTGTAAGAATCAGAATGACGTAAACACTCTAATAGAACGTCACCCAAATCGTCAACTTTGAGCCCATGTATCTCATTTTGTGTGAGAGATATCAAAAAGTGGTCAACTGATAAAATGTTGCTGATATTATGACAAACATTTTATCTGTTAACAACTTTTTGATATCTTTTACAGTAACCGAGATTATTAAACTTAAAGTTAAGGGTCCTAAAATATAGGGTCGCTCCCTGACAGTCAACTTTAAGCTCAATTATCTCGGTTCTTATCAGAGATATAAAAAAGTGGTCAACTGATAAAATGTTGCTGATATCATGACAAACATTTCATCAGTTGACAACTTTTTGATATCTTTCGAAAAAAAGTGAGATATATAAGCTCAAAATGCACGGGCCGAGGTGGCGTTCTATTAGAGTGTTCACGGTGTTTGACTTGTTAGAAATTCCAAAAAATTTCAGATGAAAATATATTTTTCAATTTACAAAGATCACAATTTATTCTAGTTTTTCTAGTATTTCAAAAAAAATTTTATGTGTAAACATGACATTAAAATTTTTGAAAAAAAATGACCTGAAACCATAAAAATCAGGATCTCTGAAAATTTGGAAAATTTTTAGAGATCTGAATTTTTGAAATTTGGTTTTTCTCCTTTAAAAAATAAACAGACACCATTCAAATTTCTTAGAAAATTGTTTTTTTTTTCAAAGAACAAAACGTATTGTAAACACTCTAATAGATGGGCACCCGGACCATCCACTTTTAGCCTATATATCTCACTTCTCTTGAAAGATATCAAAAAGTTGTCAACTGATAAAATGTTTATCATGATATCAGCCACATTTTATCAGTTGACCACTTTTTGATATCTCTCACAGAAAATGAGATACATGAGCTCAAAGTTGACGATTCGGGTGGCGTTCTTATAGAGTGTTTTCGGTATTTCAAAAGCTTTCAAACTGAATCATTTTTTTCTAATCCGGAAACGAAACAAATGGAATTTTTCATCCAAAATAATGGACAAAAAAAAGATAAGCAGATTTTAGAATCGAAATATGGGATAATCTGGAAAAAATCCGGAAAACATTGTCTGGAATAAAATGTCTGGAAAACTTTATAGTTAATTATAAAAAATGGAATATGCCAAATGAAAAAAAAAGACACTGTCAAGTTTGAGCTCAATTATCTCAGCTCCTATAAGAGATATCAAAAATGTGTCAACTGATAAAATGTAGGGGATATTATGATAAACAATTTATCAGTTGACAAATTTTTGATATCCTTATCAGGAACCGAGATAAATTGGCTCAAAGTAGTAAGTTAGGGGCTAGCCTTTTTTTTTCAGAAATGTCAGACCCTCCTGTGAAATTTGGCTTAAACCAGTGTACTGTTTGTGATTTGGTCCTGGACACTTTTTTCATTGATTGTGATAATGAGACCATGTGCAGGTGATAAAATTTCAAAAAAAAAAATATTTTTTTGAAAATTCAAATTTTCAGAACTTGCTACAAGAAGCAAAATTTCAGAAATTCCAAAATTCCAAAAATTCCAAAAACTATTCCAGATGTACAAATACAGACTGTGCAATTGATTTGAGGGGGCCCTTCTATTACAGGTTTCACGGTATATATTCAAAAATTTGAGAGTTTAGGAATTTCTGAATATCAAATGTTTCAAAGTTCTGATTTTTCAGGAATTTTGTCTCAGCAAGTTTTGTTTTTGCAAATTTCCATTTTTCCAGAAACTTCTAATTTCCTGAAAATCACGTACACACACACACTTATTTTCAGCAAATTCTTTTTCAGATCAGATTATCTATTGGGATTAATAATTGTATAGTAGAATTAGTTTTTTCTGTCTCATCCAGATCAAGAAATGAATGAGGATACTAGATTTTTTAGAAGGGATATAGCATCTAAAATTGATTTTTAGAGTTTTCTTTCAAATTCAATTTTCTGAGCTTTTTGGAATTTTTGATTTCAGAATCTGGAAAATCTGAAAAAAGAAAATACTAAGAATCTGAATACCGTAAACACTCTAATAGAACGCCACCCATATCATCAAATTTGAGCCCATTTATCTCGTTATCTGTGAGAGATATCAAAAAGTGATTAACTGATAAAATGTTTCTGATATTATGATAAACATTTTATCAGTTAACAACTTTTTGATATCTTTTAACAGAAGTGAGATATATCAACTCAAAGTGGACGGTCCGGGTGGCGTTCTATTGTGATTACGGTATTTTGGAAAAATCTGAAAATCTGAAAACTGAAATTCCGAGAAATTCAAGGATTCTGAAAAATCTGAAAATACCGAAAATCCGAAAAAAATCATTTTTTTGTAAATTTGGAACCAAGGAAGTCGGAAAATCTATAGAATCCGAAAATTCGAAACTTTCAGATCCTCTTCAAACCCCTTAAGAATTCTAAATGTCTGAAAATATGAAATTTCCGGAAGGTTACAAGATTCTGACAGATCTGAAAATGAAAAATTCTAAGAAATCTGGAAAATCTGGGAATTCCAAAATCTAAGAAATCTGAAAAAATCTGTAAATCAGAAGATTTTGAATATCTGAAAATCCAAGTTTCTGGAATTTTCAAATTTTGGTTTTTTTTTTTTGAAAATCTGGAAATCTGAAAATTCTAGAATTTTCTAGAACCTGAAAACAAATTCAAAAAACACAATTCTTCGATTTTTACAAAAGTTTACAAGTTGGACCGAAATTCCCCAAATTTTCACAGACAACCCTAAAGAGATGATGCCCCCGACTTTATCGTTTTTCGAAATTTTGTTTCTGACGTCTTCTGAAGACGTCAATCTATTTCTACAGCGGAAGCTAGGAGGTTGAGCCCGCGGTAGGGGGCGTAAACCGACCGGTTTTTTTATATTTGTAAATCTGAAAATTCTCTGAAACTATCTGAAAAACCTTTCCCAATCACTATTTCTGTCCAATTTTTTTTCCAATTTGACCTCCAAAAAAAGGAGAAAAAGAACAGAGAAAAAAAAATTTCTCTGTTATCATTCTCAAAAAATCGCCGAATTGCGAAAAAGTACATGCATCTGAGGGGTGGTCTGATGTGTAAAAACCGTAAAAACCGGTTTTTTTGGCTAAGGGGGAACGCCTTCTAAAAAACCCAAGAAAAACAGTTTTTTTTATTGTTTAACCCTTTTTCAAATGCCGTAAAACCTGTAATAGAAGGGCTTGCCCCACACTGTCAAGTTTGAGCTCAATTATCTCAACTCCTATAAGAGATATCAAAAATGTGTCAACTGATAAAATGTATAGGATATTATGATAAACAATTTATCAATTGACAAAATTTTTATATCTCTATCAGGAACCGAGATAAATTGTCTCAAAGTTGAAGGGGCCCTTCTAATACAGGTTTAACGGTATTTCAACTTTTTCCAGATTTTTACAATTTTCAGAATGCTAAATTTCAATTTTTTGGGAAACCTCGATTTTCTGAACTTTCCGAAATTTCTAGAATCTCCAGAATTTTCTGAAAACCAAATTTTTTAACCCTAACGAATACCGTAAAACCTGTAATAGAAGGGCTTGCCCCACACTGTCAAGTTTGAGCTCAATTATATCAGCTCCTATAAGAGATATCAAAAATGTGTCAACTGATAAAATGTAGGGGATATTATGATAAACAATTTATCAGTTGACAAATTTTTGATATCCTTATCAGGAACCGAGATAAATTGGCTCAAAGTAGTAAGTTAGGGGCTAGCCTTTTTTTTCAGAAATGTCAGACCCTCCTGTGAAATTTGGCTTAAACCAGTGTACTGTATGTGATTTGGTCCTGGACACTTTTTTCATTGATTGTGATAATGAGACCATGTGCAGGTGATAAAATTTCAAAAAAAATATATTTTTTTGAATATTCAAATTTTCAGAGCTTGCTACAAGAAGCACAAAAACATCACTGATTGCTCAGATAATGAGCATCTGGACCCATGTGTGAAATATGCGAAGTTAGAGAAGAAGGATGAGAAAATGTGAGTTTTTGAGAATTTCAGAAATTTCAGAAATTCCAAAATTCCAAAAATTCCAAAAACTATTCCAGATGTACAAATACAGACTGTGCAATTGATTTGAACCGCAAAAAACCGTATTATCATCCGGTAACGCTTCTCTTGATTTGCAAGTAAGTTCTTCTGAGAGAAATACAGTAAAACCTGTAATAGAGGGGCCCTTATCTCGGTTCCTGATAAAGATATCAAAAATTTGTCAACTGATAAATTGTTTATCATAATATCTTATACATTTTATCAGTTGACACATTATTGATATCTCTTATAGGAGCTGAGATAATTGAGCTCAAACAATCAGTGATATTCTTGTGCTTTTTGTCGCAAGTTCTGAAAATTTGAATTTTCAACAAAAAATATTTTTTTGAAATTTTATCACCTGCACATGGTCTCATTATCACAATCAATGAAAAAAGTGTCCAGGACCAAATCACATATAGTACACTGGTTTAAGCCAAATTTCACAGGAGGGTCCGACATTTGGACCAAAAAAATGCTTTTTAGAATCACTGGAAAACCTGTAATAGAAGGGCCCCTTAATTATTTCAACTTTGAGCCAATTTATCTCGTTTCCTGATAAAGATATAAAAATGTGTCAACTGATAAATTGTTTATCATGATATCTTATTCATTTTATCAGTTGACACATTTTTGATATCTTTTATAGGAGCTGAGATAATTGAGCTCAAACTCGTGGGGGCCCTTCTATTACAGGTTTTACGGTATTCTGGAAAAAAATTTTCAGAATGTGCTACGACTTCCACGGTGTCTTCAAACGCAACCGCTCCGCCGCTGAAATCTCACTAATTGGGTCCATAGGCAGGAAAAAATATACTAGGTAGTTAATTATTTAATTTTAAATACCGTAAAACCTCTAATAGAACGACACCCTGGTCCTGCACTCTTTTTTCATGGATTGCGATAATGAGACCATGTGCAGGTGATAAAATTTCAAAAAAAAAAATATTTTTTTGAAAATTCAAATTTTCAGAACTTGCTACAAGAAGCAAAATTTCAGAAATTCCAAAATTCCAAAAATTCCAAAAACTATTCCAGATGTACAAATACAGACTGTGCAATTGATTTGAGGGGGCCCTTCTATTACAGGTTTCACGGTATATATTCAAAAATTTGAGAGTTTAGGAATTTCTGAATATCAA